GTGGGCCCAAGTTCACTTGTTGTACAGTTGTCACGTGACCATACTTGGAGTCTCATTGAAAGATGCGTGGACATCCCTAACCTCACTTCATTTATGAGGGCTTGGCCTTTCGCATGGGTTTGGTCCCACACATGGGTTTATCCTCTTCATAAGGGTTCGGGCTTTTCATAGAGGGTCGACCAAATTGTTGAACGGACAGAATTATGTGAAATGTGGGCCCAAGTTCACTTGTTGTACAGTTGTCACGTGACCATACTTGGAGTCTCATTGAAAGATGCGTAACATTTTCAATTGATTTGGTTCTTGGAGCCTAGAATCTTTCGGTACTGAAAATTGAAACATTATAATCATTTCTATTTATTTATTTATTATTATTTTTTTTTTAGAAGTTCATTTAACTTGAGTAACATTTTTCAAAAATCTTTTCATTAAACTTAACTTTCTTCTTTTTCAAATATTTGATTCTATTGAATTAAACCAAATGAGAAAAGAATGGTCTGGATTCTGGTTCGAGTCTAATACTACAAATGGAACAAACTAATTTTATTACCAAGGAATTATTAATATTCGATTTGATTCTCAATTTTTTCGAATCAAATCACGTCCAGACCTAATTTCATTTTTAATTTATGATTGTGCTACATGTACATTATAACTTACATGTTTATTTACTAACATATAATGTGATGAGATTTAATTGGTTCTGTTGGGTTTTTTTTGATACCCAATAATCCGAGCGATGATTTAAAACAGTTGTCGGATTATTTATCGACATCATGGACTTGGCTCTGCTTGGAGATGAACTACACTTTTGGATGGCTCGGGTTTGGGTTGGATGATTATTTGGTTAGTTGGACCATTTAGTGATTAATATGGAGTTGAAAATTGACCCATTAGTTTATATTATATGGTAGCCCATTTAGAGATCTCTTGGCCCATGTTTGGTGACCTAAACTAACCTATATATATGTATCTATCTCCCAGCCGTGTAGTGTGTATGTGTTGTAGCAATGGATATGAGAGTTGAGAGAAGAGAGGCAGACGATAGAGAGGGAAGCCATGTGAGGTTGTGAGTGATGTTCAATCATTGTGACATCTTCTTCTTCCTTTTCATATCTTTGTGGATTACTAACACTACCACCCTTCTCTTTTTTGGGGATTGAGAGAACGAGGGCTGTTCAAAGTGAAGACGAAAGTCTTGGGTGGAGCCGAGGTATACCGGTGTTCGTTTGATTGTTTTTTGAGCCTGGAATTAAGATTTATCGAGGGATTTCCGCGGTAAATGGTATCAGAGCCTGTGTTTTTGATAAATCTGTGATTTTTGAGCGAAAAACTAGTTGGAAGTGGCTTAAAATTGAGCTGGAAAATAGGCAGAAAATTGAACAGAATTCTGGCAGATTTTTCAAAAACTAGACGGATCTGTTTTGGTGTTTTCTGGTCAAACCAGTTGCCATTTGGAGAAACAGACACCACAATTGGACTGTGCAAGCGGAGAAGAAGCCCAAAGGATAGCACTTCGCCGGCGCGTGGGGATTCCAAGCAAGGTACGTGAGGGCGCGTAGTGAAGAATCCGACGACAATGTCTTTAGACAGAATGTTGCTGATGATGTGACGGACCCTGTGGTGTTTTCGAATTTCAGTTTGGAGCAATACAGTGAAAGTTGGATGATTTTGCCCTTGGGCGTTCGGGTGTCGAGTGCTGTTTTCGTGTTGCTATGGACTTTAGGATGAACAGTGACGATCCTAAAGTGGTGAATTGACATCTCTCGATATTTATGGACCTTCAGACGTGGTCCGCTTAATATCATATTCTTTGTCTTTTATTATTGCAGTTAAAATTAATGTGTAAGTTAATTATTTATTTTTTGGCGTTAAAAGTCATCGTATGGGGTGATGTTAGGTTAGGGATAACCATTGTCTGTTGTTAAACCTAGGAATTATATGTTAATTAGCTGCCTTAAATTATCTGTGAATTTGTCACCAATTCCTTTCAACACCGATAGAATTGCATGTGACCTTAGGAAAGTTTACTTGACTATTCTGTGTGAATTATGTGTCAATACTTTGCTTATGGTCATTATTTGATATTGTTGGCATGTATAGGTCTAAGGCAAGTGCGAAAAATAAACTGTGGTAGGCATAGTTGAAAGAGATTGTTCTGGGATGATAATAAAAGGAAATATGAGGATAGAGACAATGCGAATGTGACTTTAGAGTCGAGTAGTGATCCTAGTGAGGTTTTATTGAGAGAATAAACCTGGTTTTTGCATTGTATCTATGTGTAATCCTTTCTGCATGCATTTAATTGCTTAATTCTGTTGTGTTGGTATATTACACTTTCAATATGTTTGATGTGTTTAATTGCATGAATTAGACTGATTTACTACTTTGTGTAATGTGTTTGCATGCATAGTGGGTTGAGATTTATGGCATACTTTATTTGCTCTGTGAGTGGTGTGAGTGTGGGAGTGAGAATATAGTTAAGGCAGCCTTTTTCTCCTTTATCTTTGTGAGTCCGTGTGGTTTGTGAGATTGTGTGAGGCTGTCATGTTAAGGTTATATTCTTCCTCTTTGTAAGCCTCATTTGTGAGTATTGTGAAATAATCGACTCTTTCTTCGATTTTTCTTTATGAGTGCCACTTTCGTCGTTTTCTTTGTGGATTTTTGGAGTTTTGGTGATTGGAGTAACCTTTGTGATCACCGAAAGGTGTTGATTTGCCATAGTGAGATTGAGATGCATTAGCGGTGAGTTGTATGTCTTTTGGTAAGGTGGAGTATAGATGCCTAGAGCTGCATATAATACACGGGGATGTAGAGTGTGATATTTAGATCATGAGTAGTAATGTGATCAAATGTGTAGAATCATTTATCTGTGAAAGAGACCCTGTAAGGTGGAGGCCCATTATCAACGTAGGTTGGGAGAAGTGATGTGGTGATAAAGGATTATCCCGAGAGCTTAGGATCTATTGTGATTTGCCAGTTAAACATCAGTTGAGTGATTAGTCTAATGAGAATAGTGAGCGATGAGAGGAGATATGTGTTCTCGAGGTGTGAGCAACACGGAATGGGATATGTTAAGTGTGGTGAGATCTTTCATGGGGTCACTTATGCATTTGTTGCATATGTATTTGACCGTGTGCTAATTAACTTGGTGTTAAACTTTGGTTCTGTGTGAACGTGAATTTCTTAAAAGATCTATGTAGTATTCTATATAATATTTTCAGCGCATGATTATTTGTTCGCTGTGATACTTGTTCATACTTAGATATTTTTTAGACCTTAGTCCCGGTGAATACATGGAGTAGGTATGGCATGTGTTTCGGTTCGAAACGCAAGATAAGGTTTGTGATTCCAATTTTATTGGATTACCTTGATTGTGCAAGTATAAACTTTGTGTTTTGGTTGCTTGTAGATTATTGGGCATCAATGTGGAGATTGTTGGATTTTTTTATACCCAATAATCCGAGTGATGATTTAAAATAGTTGTCAGATTATTTATTGACACCATGGACTTGGCTCGGCTCGAAGACGAACTACACTTTTGGATGGCTCTGGTTTGGGTTGGATGATTATTTGGTTAGTTGGACCATTTAGTGATTAATATGGAGTTGAAAATTGACCCATTAGTTTATATTATATGGTAGCCCATTTAGAGATCTCTTGGCCCATGTTTGGTGACCTAAACTAACCTATATATATGTATCTATCTCCCAGCCGTGTAGTGTGTATGTGTTGTAGCAATGGATATGAGAGTTGAGAAAAGAGAGGCAGACGATAGAGAGGGAAGCCATGTGAGGTTGTGAGTGAGATTCAATCATTGTGACATCTTCTTCTTCCTTTTCATATCTTTGTGGATTGCTAACACCACCACCCTTCTCTTTTTTGGGGATTGAGAGAACGAGGGCTGTTCAAAGTGAAGATGAAAGTTTTGGGTGGAGCCGAGGTATACCGGTGTTCGTTTGATTGTTTTTTGAACCCGAAATCAAAATTTATAGAGGAATTTCCGCGACAGGTTCAAAATATCATCAACCAAAAAAAAAAAAAAAAAAAAAAAAAACTAGTTTGTGTTATATGTACATTATAAATTATAGGTTTGTTTACCAAAAAATGTGACATAGGGAGATATGATTGAGTCAAAATTTTACCAACTAAAAAAATAAACTCCCCTACTTTCTTTTTGCCACTAATTAAACAATCCGTAAAAAAAAAAAAAATAATAGTAATAATAATAATCTTTACTTTTCTTTTTGACACCCCCATTAATTTATAAAAAATTATATAATGGTTAATTATATTCACACCAAATTTTAGTTTTTACACCACTTTTTAATTTGATTTAAAGTTCTCAATCTTTGCTCATTATAGTACTCATGTTCCCAACAATTTTTCATGTTGTTCTTATACTCAAACTTACATTAATTAACACATTTTGTATTTGATGACAGTTTTATGTCAAACAATTCATTGAAATGACATAAAACAACTTATTCTTCATCATATTTGTAAAAAGAAAATAAATAAAAAGTGAGAAAAATATCCCCAATTTAAAGTCTGAAAATAAAATATTTTGATATAAATCATTATCAAAGATGAGATGTATTAACTAATAAAAGGAAAAAAGTTAGAATAATAACTGTTATAATGAATAAATTTCAAGAGATTAATCATAATTAAAATATGGTGTATTAAATAAAAATTGTGACGATAATATAAATATTTTTATATAAATGATGTACAAACAAACATTTTCTCAAGGCTTTGCACTCCGCTCGAAACAAGCCCGCACACCATTTTTGGCCAACCAACAACTCAAAGTCAAACCTACTGTCCTCAACGATGTATAAATTTCAAGTTAGAATAATAACTGTTATAATGAATAAATTTAAAGAGATTAATCATAATTAAAATATGGTGTATTAAATAAAAATTGTGACGATAATATAAATATTTTTATATAAATGATGTACAAACAAACATTTTCTCAAGGCTTTGCACTACGCTCGAAACAAGCCCGCACACCATTTTTGGCCAACCAACAACTCAAAGTCAAACCTACTGTCCTCAACGATGTATAAATTTCACCGCTTCGGACATTCCACTTTAATACCCCATTTTTTCCCCTTTCTCATTTCTTTCTTTTCCTTTTTTTATTTGTCCTCAGATTTCCCCAGAAAAAAGAAATTGAATACAGGTGATCATTTTTTCCCTCTGGACTCGTTCCGGTTTATTGGATTATTTTATTTTATTTTATTATTATTGTTATTTTGGCTAGTTAGAGAAGGTCAATTGTTTTTCTTATTGAAACCCCACCCCCCTTTTTGTTGATCTCCTATCTGTGTTCAGTTTTGGATATTTGTCATCGATAATTAATGTTTGATATTCATTTTATTTTTTGAGATTTTTGTTGTCGAGAATTAATGTTTTGCTAGGAATCTTGGTTTCTGTAGATTCTCGGTTTTATTTTGTTCTGAACTATAATTAGAAGTCTCATATCCGTGGGTGTTCCACCTGTATATCTACATGCACTCATATATAGTGCATTAATAAAAGTATTGAGTTTTGTGTCTGTTTATGTTCGAATCATTGTATCATACAGAATTTGTGATTAAATTATTTGATGTTCATGATCTTGTACTGTTTTTTGATATATCTTCTGTTGAATTGTGTTCTTTTACCTTTGTGTCTGAATACTGCATATTTAAATTGGAGATGAATTTCGATGTTTGAAAGTTTAAATTGATTTAGCAGCAGCAAATGTACTACTTGCTTGTTTGTACCTTTTAGTGTCTGAATATCAGCATATTTAAATTGGGGGTGAATTTAGAGTTTTGAAAGTTCTAATTGATTTATCAACAGCCCAAATCAATGTTTCTACTAATTTAACATCCATAGATTCTGGTGATGTTTATTATGTACATTTAAATGGTACCTCTGCTATCAATTAAGTAGTTAGTTGATTGTGCCCAAGTTAAGATTTGATTCTTTAAGAATATTTCATGGGTCGATTAACTTATTTTGATTATTTGTTGCAGGGTGTAACCTATATAGACTTTTGAGTTTTAGAGATGTTAGAGCAGTTACTGATATTTACTAGAGGAGGTTTGATCCTCTGGACATGCAAAGAGATTGGAAATGCTCTTAGAGGTTCGCCAATTGACACGCTGATTAGGTCCTGCCTTTTGGAGGAACGGTCTGGTGCAGCATCATACAATTATGATGCACCCGGCGCATCTTACACTCTTAAATGGACATTTCACAATGAACTTGGACTTGTATTTGTTGCTGTATATCAGCGGATTCTCCATCTCTTGTATGTGGATGACTTGCTTGCAATGGTTAAGCGAGAGTTCTCTGAAATTTATGATCCAAAAAGGACTTCCTACAGTGACTTTGATGACATATTTCAGCAGCTTAAGAAAGAAGCGGAGGCTCGTGCAGAAGAAATGAAGAAGTCAAAACAGGTTGGCAAGCCTGTGAATAACAATCTTGTTAAGAAGCAAGGACAGGTGATGAAAGGCAGTATGGATGGTAGCAATAAAAAAAATAGTGGTGGTGATTCTGAAAATGGTGGTGGAGATGGTGAAAACCTGAAAGGTCACCTGTTGGAAAATGGAAATTTTAACAAAAATCATGTTATAAATAGGGAATTGCCCAGAATGGTTAATTCTAATGGTAAAGAGAATGGAAGTTCCAATGTCGGGGCTTTTGATGTAAATAAGCTACAGAAGATTAGGGGTAAAGGTGGAAAGAAAACTGACGCTACTGTTAACAAAGGTTCCAAGGTTGAGCCAAAGAAAAAGGTAGTGAAAAAGAATAGAGTTTGGGACGATTCGCCAATAGAGCCAAAACTGGACTTCACTGATCCAGTAAGTGAGAATGGGGAAGAGAATATAGCAATTGTAGCAGCGGATCAGGGTGAGAGTATGATGGACAAAGAGGAGATTATGAGCAGTGAAAGTGAATCAGAGGAGGAGGACATAGGGAAGAATGGTAAGGTTGAGACAAAGAATAAAGGCTGGTTTTCATCCATGTTCCAGAGGTAAATTTGCATCTCTCACGACCAAGTAAAGGAGAAAATTCTTGTTCTCCTACTTAATTCATATTAAGAAAACTTGTGCATGCATTTATTCAATTATTCTTGTAGTGGTTGAAATAAAGGCGTGTTTTGTCATCATGCTATTTAAGTTAGTATTTTTTGATGTGCTCTTGTCTATGCCTGTTTAGCTACTTTATATGCTACTCAGAGACTGGAATGCCAAATGCTGTATGCATGGTTGTGTTTTTTCTTCAGAAATTTTGATTGTTATTTATATGTAATCCAAGCTTGGAAACACCATCACCACCCTCTCCCATTGAAAAAAATAAAAATAAATGAAACCTTCCTGCCCATGCTGTAAAAAAATAAAAAATAAGATCATAAATGATAGAGGAAATAAAAAGCAGACATATTAATGAACAGGATTCTGTATTAAGATGTAGAACTTCTGCTTCACCGAAAGGAGTTATAGCTCCAAATTATACATTTTGTCGGAGTAAATCCGAATATTTTGAGGGACATTATATACAATGTTTTAGTAGTTGCTTAAACATTTCAACCTGAATCTGAATGTGAATTTTACATCTCAAATAATTGGCCATTGAAGATGCAAAAATGCATGTATTTTGCCGATAGCCTGTTATAGACATGAAACATTTAGTGGCTTAAGAATTTTTTTCCCCTCTTGTCTTTTGTGGTATCTTGGTTTTTGTTAAACTTTTCCTTTGTGCTTGAAATGTGAGCACTATCAAGTCTTGAGAGTCTTCTTCCTTTCTGGCATATATAACTCTAGTCATGAGCATATGCTGAATGAATAAAATGGCTGGAACTTATGTGATCAGAAGAATAACTATGAGCTAGAGCGGATATTTAAGTGTCTTTTTACTTGTTGGAGATGATCAGTAATTATTTAAAAAATTTCAATTGAAATTTAAAGTCACAGGATTTAACGTATTTATTCTTTGGCGCTTCAGCTCAGTAAATTTCTCACTGTGGTCACTGAAGATATACTGCAATATGATTGAGCATAAGTCCTTTGAGAGAAAAAGTAAAATGTTGTCGTAACGGATCATGTTGAAAAAGGCCTTGTTGATTGCCTGTGTTTTACCTTTCATTGTCTCTCAGTGTTCCCAGTCGCATGCAAGTTGTTTGTAGGCACTCTCTGTGCGATATTTACAAAATTGATCATTATTTCTTAGCGTAAAATCTGTGTTTTTCTTCTTTGAAGAAGTTAATGCGACTTGTTCATGTGGTTATGCTCATCTTCGTAGAGTACTTCTATTGGTCATTGTTATATATGTACTGTATTTTCATCTGCCTATGTAGAATCACTGCTCCTGCAATGTAATTTGAGGCGATAAGATGTTGCTTCACATTTGAGATGGAGTCGTTTTGGTTTTTGACTAAAATTGGACCAATGATAATTATTGTGATTTAGTTTCATTCCAACTATTTCACTCTAGCTGTGTCAGATAGTTATCTCATGCCATGAGAAGAGCTAGAACAGATACATAGGATTTATATTTCAATCGTGTCTGAGGGTCATTTACATAGGATTTACACATATTATCACCACTTAATTAACCCTTTTTTCCTCTATAATGTCTATTTTTTATCAATCCCATAGGGATGTTAAACTATGCTGTTCCAGTGAAATGGTGGATATACAACTTATTATTTGATTTATTCTTGTGAACTCAGTATTGCGGGGAAGTCAAATTTGGAGAAAGCCGATCTAAAACCTGCACTGAAGGCACTCAAGGACAGGCTTATGACTAAGAATGTGGTATGTCAACTTTGCATACTGTTTATAATTGCATATTTATTTAATTTTTCACCTTACTTCATCAGAGCATGGGCATTATTAGAATTTTTATATGCTGATTTTTGTTCCTTTCCCGATACTTATGGAGAACAGAAGAAAAAGTAGGGGTGAAGGGGAGAATATCACTGTTTTAATTTGTCTGCGAGTTTCCGTTGCTTCTGTTAGGAAGACTTTTTGGATTGTATACGTCTAAGACTTGTCCTTCTATTGCTTAAACAGGCGGAGGAAATAGCTGAAAAACTTTGTGAATCAGTCGCAGCGAGTCTTGAGGGAAAAAAGCTGGCCTCTTTTACAAGAATTTCTTCGACAGTGCAGGTACACAAGCGTGTCTGACTGATTTCTTTTTGACTAGAAATCAAAGCTAAAGCAAAGCAAGGCGAAATCCAAAATTACAACTCTCCATATCCGTAGAAATACGTTTTTATTGTCACCCCTCCACCAAATCCAATTGCCTTTTTTCCTTTTCAATCATAAATCATAACTATGTCTGTAATGATGTGATGGCTTAAATTGATGCTACCAGGCAGCAATGGAAGAAGCTCTCGTTCGCATATTAACCCCCAGGCGGTCCATTGACATTTTAAGGGATGTTCATGCTGCACAGGAACAAGGAAAACCATATGTTGCTGTTTTTGTAGGAGTAAATGGAGTTGGGAAATCTACAAATCTTGCTAAGGTAGCATGCTGTAAATGTAAGGAAAAACAAACTGGATGCCCGTGGACATGCACTTTTTGTCTAATGGCCTTTCCTTACTCTGTAGGTTGCTTACTGGCTTCAGCAGCATAAGATAAAAGTCATGATGGCTGCTTGTGATACATTCCGATCTGGGGCTGTTGAGCAGCTGCGTACTCATGCACGTAGACTCCAGGTTTGATTATGAAGTCATGGTTTTTTGTTCATGTAAAGTAGTAGTTTCACTGAAGTAACAATGACTAACTTGTAATGGTAAACCATTTGGAACTATCTGTCTTATCAGATTCCAATATTTGAGAAGGGTTATGAGAAGGATCCTGCCATTGTGGCAAAGGAAGCAATTCAGGAAGCCAGTCGAAATGGTTCAGATGTTGTTCTTGTTGATACTGCTGGTCGAATGCAGGTACCTTTTTCACATGCTGCTTGTTGACAAAATAAACTGTTCTCGAAACTTGCTTACCTAAAGACACTGTAAAAATGAAAACTTTATTCAATGAGGTTTCATTTGTCAATTGTTCAGGATAATGAACCACTAATGCGAGCTCTGTCGAAGCTTATCTACGTTAACAGTCCAGATCTTATCTTGTTTGTTGGCGAGGCACTTGTGGGCAATGATGCTGTGGATCAGCTGTCAAAATTTAATCAGGTTTGCTGGATTTTTGGTTCTTCATTTAATCACTTATCAATACACAGCCCCCTGCATGTTATAGGCAGTTTTTCTTCAATTTATTACAGAAATTAGCCGACCTGTCACCCTCGCCCAACCCCCGATTGATTGATGGGATCCTGCTTACCAAGTTTGATACAATTGATGATAAGGTATGGTCTTTCCTCTCATTCATTTTCTTTTTCTGGTTCAAATAGAAGCTCCCAGGGGATATCATTTTTACTTATTTTGAGATTAACTTATTTCTAATTCTGACCTTTAAAGAATTATTTACTAGTTTAAACTTATGGCCCTTTTGGTAGGGATAATTTTCTTTAAGTGTTTCTTTTGGTTAAGAGAACTTTTAGAGGAAGTTGGTACGTGGTGACTTCATCACGAAGCTCTTCTACTTTTATAAGCAGAAGGCTTTGGCAAATGGGCACTTACGCATAAGCTAACTTTTTAAGCTTAGCCAAACATACTATGCATTTTAAGTAATTTATAATTTCAACAGTATTTTATCATTTGTTTTAGTATCTTTATCACATTATGTGTCGATGGTGGTGTAGGTTGGAGCTGCATTATCGATGGTATACATTTCTGGGGCGCCTGTCATGTTCGTTGGGTGTGGACAGTCCTACACTGATTTGAAGAAGCTTAATGTGAAGTCCATTGTTAAGACACTCCTCAAATGAAGATAGTTTATGGTCTTCTTTCTCCTTCCATTTCGAAAATAAAGATGCTTTATCGTCTCCATTGTTTTACGTTTGCGTGCTATTTCTCGACTCTGTCTTCAACTATGAAATGTGTTCGTTGTGTTGTTGCTATATCTTGCGAACTGTCTGGATGTGTAATCTCACTGTTTTGGCAATCAAGGTGAATTATTCCATTATTTATGATTTTTCATTAAGGTTTTATTGCCAATATTCATGTCAAGATTGAACCACATACAATATAACTAGATATAATATGAAATATTTTTTTATAAATATAATAAAATTATTAAGTATGATTTTCAAGTAACAGTAAATAAAAAAAAAACAATTAATTCCCAAAAAATATAGTTACAAATAAACAATTTATGGTTATTTTATGTATACAATTTTCAAAATAGCCCTCTCGTAATGGCCAATACTAAGTTTTTCCAAATGTATAAGTATAATTTATGTTAAAATTATTTTCATATTCTCAATGTTATCAAGTTCTTCATCTCTACTGCGTCCCATTTTCCCTACCATGATACGTCTCTTAATATCATTCATAGCTGCTTTCTTAAGAACAGAGATAAGAAGAGATTATCTCAATTCCTTTGTGTCTCATCTCCTTCCCACTCGTCCCCTTCATTCCCCTACTACTCTTGTCCCTATAGTCCACTAGTCGAGAACATTTTCACAAGATACCATATCTATTAAGTACGATGTCAGTTGGAAAAATGTCGAAATAAGGAAAAAAAAAAAAGCCAGATATGACGGTTGCATTTTCTAGGAGCATTCATAGTGACTAAGAAGGTTGAAAATCAAGAAATGAGTATTGCTTGACGTAAATCATATAGTGGAACAATGGTTCAAGGGCTTAAAATAGTAGGGTTAAGAAACAATTTAAATGATTCTCTCTCTTACGGATAAATTGTACAATTATAATGAAATATTTGAGAACCAATTTTCTACTCTTCTAATAGGGTTATTATCTACAATCATGTCACAAATACAGAATATTTTGATAGAAAATCTTTAAAGACAATACATGAGACGACATCATTGGAAGATGAGAAAAAAGAAAAAAACAGTCCAATCACATTTTTCAACATCAACATTGGTACATATTCTGTTAATTTTTTCCTGGGCTTGGAGCTTAATATTATTATCTAGAATTAACACAATTTCTTGATAGTTTGAAAGGATTAATCTATTTTGATAGAAAAAATGACAGATTAGTTGACAAATGTGTATGTGACAGTAAATAAATGGATAAAAAAGTTGATTATATTTTGAGAAGTGTTGGACGAACGTGGCCACTTGCGTTCAGGGTGCCAATTCGGCACCCCTCCAATAGGGGGTGGAGGAAGGGGCGCCTAAATTGGACAAGGCCACGTTAGCCTTGTCCGAAAAGATTTACCCTTATATTTTAAACTATTAAATGATAGAAAGTCATATGATATTATATCAAAAATTATATTTACCATTGCTTAGCGCGAGATTCTTGGGGGATAGGGCCTTGGACGTCCAGGGCCCACGCAGGCGATAGGGCCCTGAACGTCCAGGCCTTGTCCGTTTGGTTTAACCCTTGCTTTGCACGAAGAAGTCACTGTTTTAAGCAAAAAAATGAAAAAAATATTTTATACGTCAACTTCCTCTTTTTTGACGTAAAATATCGTTTTGTGTATGTGTAATTGAATAAAGCAGAACGGTTTGATAAATCAAAATTTCGTTCGTATCTGATTTCCGCGTCGAAACTCAAATTGCAATGCAAGTGTCTCTTCAATTTAAATTCAGCCATTTCAATATCAATCCTTCCCCCTCACTTCAGAATCCCTGTAAGTCCATCTATCCTTTCTGTATATACACATGTACGAGTGGGTGTGAATAATAATTGAAGATTCTGTGTATAGATCTAGACGTATGTAGTTTCTACAGTACGCTTTTTCTTGTTTATAACTGTTTAGTATGCATTGATTTTGCAGGCGAAATGGACCTGAAGTGTCTCTTTGCACCTTCTCTTCGTCAAGTAATTTCTTGATTACTCTATTTTTATTTATTTATTTGGGTATATAAATTTTGCTTGACTTTATTGAGGTTTTATGTTGATTTTAAATAAAAATTATTTCTGTGTGATTATATGTTTAGATATGAATGACTTGAATTATTCCGAGTGCAACCTGCTACTGTTTTAACATCGAAGAAATAAAAGATCAATTCTTTATTAGTGTAGTTTGATAAGAACAGAAATACAGCAGTTTGTCACCGAATGAACTTTATCTTGGTATGAAATCCTGACAATACGAGTTCAATGGAGCTCACGCTTCAATAATTGTTAACTAAGAACCATGAGTTTTAGCTTGGGAGAACAAAATATAAGTTTTAGCTGGGGAGAACAAAATATAACATCCCCTCCTGGTTGATAATCTACAGAAATCATCCGAAGAAGACACTTGAAGCTTGATTCCCTTTTCCAGAAAATGAAAAAGGAATTGGGAATTACTCTTTTAATTGGTATATTTCGGTACATCGGCATTTGATAAGAGAAAATTGAAACCAGGATTTTGGCTGGAATGAATCCTTGTGTGTGTCAGGGATTAAGTACACTCATTTACGAGAGCAACAAGCAAAACATATTAGAAATACACAAAGTGCACACTAATTTTTAGTACCCTTAATGAAGATGTAATATGCAAAGAATTTCACGCATCTCGTCCCAAATACAGCCTCTAGCCCTAAAACTCTTTATATATGATAGGAATATTAGGGTGACCTTATACATGTATGGACTACCCAATAGGTTGATGTGTGATGGTGGGGATAGGTGAACAGGATTACTAGGCACCTCAGAATCCAACAATACAGGAACCATGAGATTTGTAGCATCCTCACTAAATTCAGTTGAAAATTCTAGTTTTACTTGGACATGCCAGTCTTGGATTTGGATTCTAAAATAAGACAGTGTATTTAATCTCAAGTAGACACGCAATGCAGGGAGACTGAAACTCACATGTACAACTAGACATGTTTTTCTCTTTGCTCACATGTGAAGAAAAGAAAACTATTAGTTAAGTATAATAATTCAAAGATACACATCTAGGTTCATGTCATTCTCATTTCTATCTATGTATTTTCCCACAGTAGAAAAGGGACAATGAAAGATAAAATTAATTATCGCAAAAAATGGAAAGATATTAACAGGATGCAGCAGTACAATTTAATTGATGATTGTTATGGGCAATTGGGCATTATGCTAATCTCACACAGTTAACACTTAAATAATGGCCAATACTAAGTTTTTCCAAATGTATAAGTATAATTTATGTTAAAATTATTTTCATATTCTCAATGTTATCAAGTTCTTCATCTCTACTGCGTCCCATTTTCCCTACCATGATACGTCTCTTAATATCATTCATAGCTGCTTTCTTAAGAACAGAGATAAGAAGAGATTATCTCAATTCCTTTGTGTCTCATCTCCTTCCCACTCGTCCCCTTCATTCCCCTACTACTCTTGTCCCTATAGTCCACTAGTCGAGAACATTTTCACAAGATACCATATCTATTAAGTACGATGTCAGTTGGAAAAATGTCGAAATAAGGAAAAAAAAAAAATAAAAATATGATCTGTTTATTTATGCATATATGTGCGCACTTTGTGCAATCAAACAACAAATAAGCACTATTTCTGATACCGATCTTTGTGCAATCCTTATTATGATGATAGAACTACTAAGTAGGTTGATTCTCTTCTGTAGTTTTCTAGTCTTGTTTAGATAAAACCTTTATTGCTTGACGTAAATCATATAGTGGAACAATGGTTCAAGGGCTTAAAATAGTAGGGTTAAGAAACAATTTAAATGATTCTCTCTCTTACGGATAAATTGTACAATTATAATGAAATATTTGAGAACCAATTTTCTACTCTTCTAATAGGGTTATTATCTACAATCATGTCACAAATACAGAATATTTTGATAGAAAATCTTTAAAGACAATACATGAGACGACATCATTGGAAGATGAGAAAAAAGAAAAAAACAGTCCAATCACATTTTTCAACATCAACATTGGTACATATTCTGTTAATTTTTTCCTGGGCTTGGAGCTTAATATTATTATCTAGAATTAACACAATTTCTTGATAGTTTGAAAGGATTAATCTATTTTGATAGAAAAAATGACAGATTAGTTGACAAATGTGTATGTGACAGTAAATAAATGGATAAAAAAGTTGATTATATTTTGAGAAGTGTTGGACGAACGTGGCCACTTGCGTTCAGGGTGCCAATTCGGCACCCCTCCAATAGGGGGTGGAGGAAGGGGCGCCTAAATTGGACAAGGCCACGTTAGCCTTGTCCGAAAAGATTTACCCTTATATTTTAAACTATTAAATGATAGAAAGTCATATGATATTATATCAAAAATTATATTTACCATTGCTTAGCGCGAGATTCTTGGGGGATAGGGCCTTGGACGTCCAGGGCCCACGCAGGCGATAGGGCCCTGAACGTCCAGGCCTTGTCCGTTTGGTTTAACCCTTGCTTTGCACGAAGAAGTCACTGTTTTAAGCAAAAAAATGAAAAAAATATTTTATACGTCAACTTCCTCTTTTTTGACGTAAAATATCGTTTTGTGTATGTGTAATTGAATAAAGCAGAACGGTTTGATAAATCAAAATTTCGTTCGTATCTGATTTCCGCGTCGAAACTCAAATTGCAATGCAAGTGTCTCTTCAATTTAAATTCAGCCATTTCAATATCAATCCTTCCCCCTCACTTCAGAATCCCTGTAAGTCCATCTATCCTTTCTGTATATACACATGTACGAGTGGGTGTGAATAATAATTGAAGATTCTGTGTATAGATCTAGACGTATGTAGTTTCTACAGTACGCTTTTTCTTGTTTATAACTGTTTAGTATGCATTGATTTTGCAGGCGAAATGGACCTGAAGTGTCTCTTTGCACCTTCTCTTCGTCAAGTAATTTCTTGATTACTCTATTTTTATTTATTTATTTGGGTATATAAATTTTGCTTGACTTTATTGAGGTTTTATGTTGATTTTAAATAAAAATTATTTCTGTGTGATTATATGTTTAGATATGAATGACTTGAATTATTCCGAGTGCAACCTGCTACTGTTTTAACATCGAAGAAATAAAAGATCAATTCTTTATTAGTGTAGTTTGATAAGAACAGAAATACAGCAGTTTGTCACCGAATGAACTTTATCTTGGTATGAAATCCTGACAATACGAGTTCAATGGAGCTCACGCTTCAATAATTGTTAACTAAGAACCATGAGTTTTAGCTTGGGAGAACAAAATATAAGTTTTAGCTGGGGAGAACAAAATATAACATCCCCTCCTGGTTGATAATCTACAGAAATCATCCGAAGAAGACACTTGAAGCTTGATTCCCTTTTCCAGAAAATGAAAAAGGAATTGGGAATTACTCTTTTAATTGGTATATTTCGGTACATCGGCATTTGATAAGAGAAAATTGAAACCAGGATTTTGGCTGGAATGATCCTTGTGTGTGTCAGGGATTAAGTACACTCATTTACGAGAGCAACAAGCAAAACATATTAGAAATACACAAAGTGCACACTAATTTTTAGTACCCTTAATGAAGATGTAATATGCAAAGAATTTCACGCATCTCGTCCCAAATACAGCCTCTAGCCCTAAAACTCTTTATATATGATAGGAATATTAGGGTGACCTTATACATGTATGGACTACCCAATAGGTTGATGTGTGATGGTGGGGATAGGTGAACAGGATTACTAGGCACCTCAGAATCCAACAATACAGGAACCATGAGATTTGTAGCATCCTCACTAAATTCAGTTGAAAATTCTAGTTTTACTTGGACATGCCAGTCTTGGATTTGGATTCTAAAATAAGACAGTGTATTTAATCTCAAGTAGACACGCAATGCAGGGAGACTGAAACTCACATGTACAACTAGACATGTTTTTCTCTTTGCTCACATGTGAAGAAAAGAAAACTATTAGTTAAGTATAATAATTCAAAGATACACATCTAGGTTCATGTCATTCTCATTTCTATCTATGTATTTTCCCACAGTAGAAAAGGGACAATGAAAGATAAAATTAATTATCGCAAAAAATGGAAAGATATTAACAGGATGCAGCAGTACAATTTAATTGATGATTGTTATGGGCAATTGGGCATTATGCTAATCTCACACAGTTAACACTTAAAAATCCATATTGTGTGGTGCAAATTGTATTAATTTTGCCGCTTGTTGGGGTTTGAAACTTGTGATATCTGGAGTATGACCTAAAAAAAGACTTCCTGTAGTATGCTAAAAAGGTACCTCACAGATGGAGGGAAACATGAATTATTAGCATGATTGGGTAAGCTTCAAAGGTGGCTTTCTCTAAACCACTGGGAAATGGAAGTTTTGATTCAGTTGAAGACTTTGAAAGAAGACCCATTTTAGTATTCTATGATGCAGAAGGTTGTAGTATTGACTTGCACGGGGCTTTTATTACTAATGTTTATTAAATTATTTGATATCATGGTTGTCTATCATTCTGTATCGATTTGTATAACGAATGATATGGAAAGCTGAAGTAGAATCAGCTTTATATGGTAAATTTAGCCTCATGTAATTATGGCTCCTTGGTTACCAATTCTAGAACTATCTGTCTAGTGCTAGTTGCTACTAATGTTAATTCGAAGAACCTATAAACTTTGCCAAACGGAGGCTTAAAAATATGATCTGTTTATTTATGCATATATGTGCGCACTTTGTGCAATCAAACAACAAATAAGCACTATTTCTGATACCGATCTTTGTGCAATCCTTATTATGATGATAGAACTACTAAGTAGGTTGATTCTCTTCTGTAGTTTTCTAGTCTTGTTTAGATAAAACCTTTCTTGGTAGTTCTGTTTGCCTCATTACTATTTCAGTTTTACAGTTTCCTGCTTGTCATGGGATTCAGGTTTGCTGCTTTCCTCTTAAACAACCAGCTGACAGATATTCCAAAACTCGTAAGTCAGTTATGGCATTTTATCTTTACTGCTAAACTTCTGAAAACTTGTCTTGTGTAGCCTTACAATATAATATTTTAACAGATGTTATGTGGGTTGTGGCTCACATCTTCTGAATCCAATTCAATGCTCCATCTATTCTCTCTATAAAGCTCGAATTTCTGTTTTATAAAGAACCATATGAAGAAATGTTCTTTCTCTTATGGATGTGTATTGAAATTCATTTTTGCTTTCTCCCTTCTTTCTGTTTGTAGCTATCCTATTGTTTGTCTTCTCTAAACATGCAAAGTCATTACTAAAACTATGCAATATGGCTTTTTTTTACTTGCTTCATTCAACAACTATTCTAGTCTGGCAATGACGATCCAGTAGAATATTTTGCTCATTGGCATTTGATTTTCATTCTTTCTCAATCGGTTTCTCTTCATTAATGCCCACCGAAGCATTTGTGGAATTAAATATTTTGCTCTGTCTGTATCTTTAACAAGGTGGTTTTTGCTTCTCATAGGATGATAGTTTTTCAATTCTGCTTGTGAACTATTGATGTTCGGCTTGGAAAAGAAAAGCAATGAGAAAACTAAAAAAAATTTAAGTAGCACAATATGACAGGGAGCATGTTTGGCTAAGCTTATATTATAAGGTCAAGTATACTTATTATCCAACCACTTTGTAGGATCCACAACTTACTATCCGCTTATTATTCACACATTCTGTACACCAACTTGAAGGTAATACTAACAAGTACTAGGACATCTCGATTGTTCTTTTCCAACCCCTTCATTCTTGTCATGTTAGTCATTAGTGCATCACTGTTTCCTCTGTTGGAGACTATAGAGTATGTGCCTAGACAACTTAATGATACATTAATTTCAGTTATCAACAAGATGTTTTGGTTCAGCCTAATAGTAAATAAGCACATAGGACATTCAGCTTATATCCTGATCATTCTTCTGTAGCTTTTCTAGCAGCCCTAAGATACACTATTTTTTTAGGAAAAAGGTTTAATTAGAAAGCGTAGTCAGTATCTCAACCAGTTATTTTCTAAAATACTGAGACATTCTTATAACTCATTCACTTTGGATATGCATTCTAAAATGCAGTACACAGTGTCAATTCTTTCATAACAGGACATTGGGACCTGGAAGAGATTGTCCTTCATAGGACCAATGTCATACTTAACAAAAAATGGTTGTTTTGAGGCTAGCATACCTCTCAACGATGTCACACGAGCCATTACAATGTTGTTGTGAAAATCTAGGGTTTAAATGTGTGTCCATCTCTATCCTTTCTTATGCCATATAAAATGTCGAAGGCAGAAGCCAAGTACTCCAGGAAATCTATATATTTTCTCTTTTATGTCGCAAATTTATATTTTTTCTCTTTTACGTCGCATCTTTTTAATCTTCACTCTAGAAGATCATCAACTTTTGTTATTCTCTTGCATGCATTTTATGCATAAGCATGTTCTTATTTAAACAAGAATCACATCATATTCCTTATAAATGGCAGATGATTTTAACAGATGCGTCACTTTGGAATATTTCAAATGCACTTTTTCTTTTTTTTTTTTGTAAAGTAGAATTAGACTATGTAGACAAAGATCGGCAATTATTTCAGATCTGCAAGCTTGATCATTTGAGACAAATGTGCCTTGATCTGCCATTCCAATTGCGAATTCACAAGATGAACTCTTGATCAGAAGTTAAATGTGTGTAGACATCATATCACCTGAAAGTACCTTCTTATAAACTTTTTAGAACTTCAGTAATGAAGGAATGACGGATTTGCAGTTATGTGCATTGTTTAACCAGGGAACTGCACATGTCTGAAACATTTTTGGGTCACATTTCTCTTTGTCACAACAGTCTGTCTTTGAAGTCACATAATGAAGGACTTCTAGAACTCTCCCAAGGACAGTAGCGTGTTGTTCAATCCATGCTTCACACTTCTATGTATCTTTTTAATTTACAAAACTATGTAAACAAGTTAATTCGTGCCAAAAAGAAAGTAAAAGATACATACCCTCATTTCATTGATATCCATGTGCGAGTTTTCAATACTAAGTTTTCTCTCTTTAAAAAAAATAAATGATCTCTTTTTGTTAATTATTCCGTAATTTTCTTATTTAGTCACTTCTCAAGCAGCAATTTCTAATGTTTCTTAACTTAAAAGAAGCTTTGGTAGTTATAATTTTGTTTATAATGCTCTTTTTGTCTTGTCTGGATGTTCTTTCAGATAGAATCATGTGTACTTCAAGAAGACATGCACGTTCAACTTGGAGCTCTTTTGACCTTAAAAAGAATTTTACTCGAATCTATAGCGATCTCAATTTTTATAGACGGGCAAAATTATCAAGACATGTTGTAAGATCTGAACTTGCTGGTGCTGGGTCTGCTGGTGCTTCCTCCTATCCATTATCAGGTGTGCAAGAAGAAGTCTTCAGTTAATTATAGTTTTTATAACTTAACATTCTCTTCTTTGACCCTTGAATGCAGAAATTCAGTTGGGCTCCAGAATACGAGGAATGTGCTTTTATGCTGTAACTGCTTTTACTGCAATATTTCTATTTGTGCTGATGCTTGTTGAACATCCTTTCGTGCTGTTATTTGATCGATATCGTAGAAAAGCTCATTACCTAGTTGCCAAAATCTGGGCATCTCTGACTGTTGCTCCTTTTATCAAGATTGAGTTTGAAGGGTTGAAGAATTTACCTCCACCAAATACCCCTGCGGTGTATGTATCGAACCACCAAAGCTTTTTAGACATATATACTCTTCTCACTCTTGGCAGAAGCTTCAAATTCATTAGCAAGACTACAATTTTCCTTTTTCCGATTATCGGGTGGGCCATGTTTCTGATGGGTGTTATTCCTTTGAAGCGCATGGACAGCAGGAGCCAGTTGGTATTTGTTTCTTCTTTTTATCATTTTTCTGTGCTTCAAGGATATTCTGCCTTTTGAGTTTGCTTGATCTGATTACAGTGCATCACTGATATTAATAGGTTTCCCTTTATTCTCTTACAATATGTACTTGTCTTTGCAACTCCAGTTTCTGATTCTGGTAGAATAACGAATGTAGGATTGTCTTAAGCAATGTATAGCTCTTGTCAAGAAAGGAGCATCAGTCTTCTTCTTCCCGGAGGGGACTCGTAGTAAAGATGGCAAGCTGGGTGCTTTTAAAGTAAGTTCAACTTCCTATCTCTTGTTCATAGTCTCGGCTATTATTGCTCGAAAAGAAGACATTGACTAATATTTGTTACAAATCACAATTTTTGCTGGATTTTCACAAAGCAGTGCCTCCTCAGTTCAATTTGGTGGGAACTTGAGAATGTTAAAGAAGTAAAAAATGTGTAAGATTTGAGTGTTATTATGCTGAATTCAGTGGTCTCTTAAACACTGTCCATTTAAGTTTAGTAGGAACATGTAAATCAAGCATATGGTGATCTTGTTAAGGATATTCAGACAAGTTCAAGTTCTTTATGGTTTAGTTTTCTTGACAATTTAAGTTTGTGAGAATTGGAAATTATGGATTTTCCGTTCTTGTGAAAACAAATGGACCTAAAAACAGTAAATTATGACACACTAATCTTTAGTGTGTACTCCAGCAGATAAATTTCAACTTTAGAACGATTTATATCGTAGTTCTTGCCTGTGGAAATTGAAATATAAAATCACAGAAATGAAAAATCAGTACCATATTTGTTGTGCCTCACATGAATTTGCATTCTTGAAAATACATACAGCTATCCAAGCCTTATTTCGTGAATTCTGTCTTTTTAGCTTAATTCTTGATATTCTTTGCTGTTAATTGAAATGGTTTTGCTATAAGTAATCATGCTTTTCTGTATCTGATGAACTGTAGAAAGGTGCTTTCAGTGTTGCTGTGAAAACTGGAGTACCAGTAGTTCCAATCACTCTTATTGGGACGGGTAAAATTATGCCTGCTGGAATGGAGGGTCAATTGAATCCGGGAACAGTGAAAGTTATCATTCATCAGCCAATAGAAGGAGATAGTCCAGATGCACTATGCAGTCAGGCTAGAGACATAATTGCAGATGGGCTTTTTCGTCAAGGTTAAGAGATTCACTGCTGTAAATTTGCCAATATCAGAATCTTTGTGAGGGTTGTAGGAATACAAGCTGAAAGGTAAAATTTTGCTGTTCTATTATTCTCTTGCTGCCCTAGAGTTTCTATTAGTTGGAAACTAGTGGAAAGTAAGCTATATGTTTTTCAATTTATTTTAATTCCGTGTGTTGGTGTTTTTTTTTTTTTTTTTTCAAAAATTTAAAATTTTTATTTTTATTTTTTTGGCTGATAGGTTATCTTTTTCCTTCTGATTAGCATTTAATTACCATTGACCGACTTTCTTTGTTACTGTCCTTTCACGCCTTACCTTGTGACTGACTTTCCATGGATTTAACGTAAACTATGCACTTTAATATAAATCTCCGACAGAAGCATTAAAAGCAATATATGTAGCATATTAACAACATTCATGAAGCTATTAGCACGATTGATAAGAAAATGGGATTTTCTCGTGTCAACTTTGTTACCCACTTGCACACGGGCAATGCACCAATAATTTTTTGTATTATTGTAGTGTTATCGATGTTTTAGCCAGAATTTTGTGGATTATTACTTCCCACGCCATTGTGCGAAGCATCTTTATTATTCTTAGTAGTTTCTTTTTGTTATAGTCTAGTACGTGAAACAAAGCTTGAAGGGATTTGTTCTCTTGTTAATCAAACAAATTGTATTTCACAGTTGCCCCTTCACATTCTCAGTTACTGCTCTATTAGAAAAATGTTACTACTTTGAACCGGTTTATCCATAAGCTTAAGCTTTTAGAGAGGCTACATGTATATCATCGATATATTGTCTTCAACATGATACTCACGTGTAGTCGAGGTTTAATTATAATGTATTTAATTGAGTGGTGGCGGGACTTGAATACAGAAACTTTGCCTTCTCCATTTAGTGAACTCGGCTTGATTTTGTCAAATAGTACCCCCCCCCCCCCCCCCCCCGT